AAAAATTTATTAAATTTCAAGGAATTTAACTTGAGGATTTGTTTTACTTTAAATTAAGCTATTGATACATATTGATAGTCTAGAAAAAAGTTAGATAATCAAGAAGAATAAGATAGATGTAATCGTTGCCAGCAAACATAATATAAATTAATTGAAATGCTGCATAAAATATTTACTACCTATTTTAATTATAATATACAAAATTTAAAAAATTTTGCTGTTATAATGCAAACTAATTTTACATATTGTACTATTATTTATTTGTAAAAATTGCAGACAACAAATATGATTGTCAAAATCTGGTCTCAGCAGTATAATAAAAATTGACAAATAAAAAGATAGTAAATAATATTAGTATTTTTCATAATTATGCAAGTATAAATATGCAATAATAAATGACTCACCAGTCGTTGTACCTTAACTAAATACGCTTTCAGCTGTATCTAAAAAAATTATTATAATTTTAATTAAAATATAATTCCATACAAAAATTTACAAAAATAGAAACTTTAAAAAACTTAATAAATATTTCATTAATATAATAATATATATGCTTTAATAAATATTTTTTAACATTTTTAATAAAAATAAATTAATATATAAAAATAAAATAAATTTGATATAGATATTATCATAATTATTTCTACATATTTAAATAATAAATAAATAATTATACTTACTAATAATTATACTTACTAATTAAAGTATTGCAGTTTGCTCTATCCGCTGCGGAACTTGCTTTAGACTTCTCTGCATCGCTTCCATCGCTGCTTCGAATATCAGAAATCTACACTATTGTTAGTTATTCACATTATTAAACAAAATTGATCCGCACTTCAGATATACACAAATTATTTGTTACGCCGCGATACACAAAACGCGCTTATGCCACGATACATTCACGCACATATTTCGTGATTCAACACTGTACACATACTTAGAACGAAAGAAATAAAGAATGATATTTTGACAGTTGCATCATTGTCGTCAGGCAGGACACATAAACATCGCTTTGCCTTCTTTCAATTCCAGCCAGCTAAAATGATAATATATTATATTTAGTAAAATGTTTACTGCGCGCAAAATTTCTTAACATATGAAAGACATATTTTGGATATTTACGACATCTAAATATACTCACTGAAATTGTAACCTATTTGAAGTAACGGTCCGGCCATCCGACAATCGACATCGCTCACCGTAAGCATCCGCGATAAAAAACATGTTCCGGCAGTTGCCCATCACTTTAATCGACACTCCCGACAAAAATTCGCAATAGTTACCGTATATTTAGTACTCCATGCGATTATTACAGACAAAATACATGATTTTACAATTTACCTTTCGACGTTCGCGCTCATGATTCGACACAAATCGGAACTTATGCGATTGGTAGAATAGATTTTTTTTGTTGGAGAAAATATTCAAGGCTATGGTTAAAAATATTTAGCGCTATAGCCCGCGAAATACAACTGGTATAAAAGCATAGTAGAATAGACGCTACCTTTCTTGATCGCTGCGCACTCTATTGGACCGACTGTTAAGCTTCTTGCAGTTCGTGTCGGAAGGCACAGCGCGAATCGTTTTATAAGCGTTGAATGTTTATCGTGTATTTTAGCCGTAATTATTACCGCATTAGTAGCAAACATATATAATTATTTCGGATTTTTACCGGGAGTGTCGATTAAAGTGACGGGCGTTTGCCGTAGGTCAATTAGGTTACGAGTTTACAAGTTTCAATGGGTATACAGATTTGAATGTTATAAATATCCGAAATATGTCTTACATATGCTAAAAAATTTTACGCCGGATAAACGTTCTATTAAATATAGCAAATTACTATTTTAGCTGGTTAGAGTTGAACGAAAACAACGCAATTGTTGTGCATGTTTCTAACCTGACGACATTGGCGGAACCGCTAAAATATCGTTCTTCATCTTCCTTGTTTTAAGTATATGCACATATTTACTACGCGATTATTACAGACAAAATACGATTAAACAATTTACGTTTTGTACAGCGTTCGCGCTTACAATTAGTATTCGGTACAAATCAGAACAAACTCATGCGGCCGATAAAATAGAGGCCGCTACTTTACTGATCCTTGCGCACTCTATTGGCCGACCGTATAAGTTTCTTGTAGTTTGTGTCGACTTGCAAACCGTTTTACAAATGTACTGTTTCTCGTGTATTTTAGTCGTAATAATTGCCATACTAATAGTAAACATGCATAACTCTCGCGGAGTTTTATCGGGAGTGTCGATTAAAGTGACGGGCGATTGCCGGAACGTGATGTTTACCGCGGATGCTTGCGATGAGCGATCGTCGGATGGCCGGACCGTGGATCAACGCGGTTACAATTTTAGTAAGTATACAAATTTGGATTTTATAAGTATCCAAAACATGTCTTACATATGTTAAAAGATTTTGCGCATAAATATTTTATTAAATATAGCATATTATTATTTTAGCTGATTGGAATTGAATGAAAACAACGCAGTTATGCATGTGTCCAGCCTAACGACATTAGCTCAATCGTCAAAATATCGTTCTTTATCTTATTCATTCTGAATATAGGTACAGAGTTAAATTACGGAATGTGTAAAATAATGGTAATTATGTGCGTGAACGGGTTGTGTTACAAAGTATGTTTCGCGATTTAGCATATTTGCAACGTAACTTCGCAATTTTTGCATATGCAAATCGTGCGAGTCGGTTTTTGCTCGGTAGTGCGATAACTAATGAAAAGTGTGATTTTAATATTTATCGATTCTTCGATGGAGTTGATGTGAAGGAACCTAAGCTGAATTCTGCGGTAACTTCTGGAGCAAACTGCAATATCTTAATTGGTGAATATAATTATTTGTTCATTATTTAAACATGTACATTATTGCACAATAATACACTTATATGCAATTACAATTTGCATTTATTAAATATTTGTAAAATATTTAAGAATATAAATTAAAATATTTATTTATTATAACATTAATTAAATATTTATTGAATTTTTTAAATATTTGTCCATGCAATTTACTGCATTAAATTATGTTTTAACCAAATAATCAAAATGCATAAAGTATATGATAATTTATAACAACTAAAATATATATTAATTTTTTCAGGTACTGCTGAAGGCGTACTAGTTAAGATACAACGACCGGTGAGTTATTCATTTATTATACTTGCATGATTTCAAAGGTCCGTGTTTTATGGAAATCTTTAAACATTTGCAACATTTGTTGTATTTGTTAACACAACAATTTGATGTGAATAAATAGCTTTTCACATCAAATATATTAAAAAATTCGTATTTATTACTATATATATTATTTCTATAAAATCAATATATTGAAGAAACTACTATATAGAATTAAAGACTACAGTTTTGTGAAGTTTGAATTTATCTTTATTATAAGCAGAATAGGAGGGAGGAAAAGGATATTTAAGAATAAACACAATGTTAAAACGAGAGTCAAGTATATATTATATCGTACTTTAATAGTAGCCTTATCCAAGAGATGCGGCTTACAAGGTTTCCTCGAAGTTTCCCTCGCAATTTATGTTACTATAAAATGGTTAGAAGCCACAGATTTTGCATTACATACCCTCATAAGATTTCTTACGGCTCTCGAATATATTCGGAAAAGTTATTATTAATTGCGCTGTTACTTTCGTCGATGAGAAGCCAATCCGATACAACGGACGTGCATTCTAAAACTTGATTGGCTGCGGATGTGTGTGGAAGAAAGTCCGAAATACAAAATAATAATAATTTTACATATTTTAATTACATACAATAATAATAAGCATTATGCATCTTTAATTATAATAATTATATAAAACATATTTAATTTATGACAATATATATTAAATATGCATATAACAGTAATCTCAAGTTTTTTAACTTGTAACATTTTTCTTTTAAATTAAGGAACAATTTAAGTTTCATAGAAGAAAGGAACATCTCAGACGATATGCTAATCATGAAAATTGGACTTTACTTTCGCGACTCTCTACCACTTCACGTCTACTTAGTTCGAAGTTCGCTCTTTTCTTTCTATCTACACTTAATAACGTTAATAATAACATCTCAATCATATCAACATTTTGCTATAGCATGTCTTTTTTGTTTTTCTTCTCTTTAACAAGGATAAATAATCGTCATCTTAGTGAAAAAAGGTACATTAATAAGTTTCGTCTCATATTCGTAACGGTGATCGATCAATCATTAAATGCGAAGAGGAGCATGTGTGAGCCATCATCAGGTATATAATCGATCATTTATTTTAGACATTTCTTAACACGATAGAGAAACAATCTTCGTTGAAATGGAATAACATTTTTTACTTCTTTCTAATAAAAATCATAACACGAATTTTGCTTCGAATATATTTAACGTATAACGCTTCAATGTGACATTTGTATAAAAATCTGTGGTTTTATCTTCTTTTTTTTTTATTATCGATTATTGAAGGTGACACTTATAGCATCTCTGACGATTTTACAATTGTGCCTTTTTTCACATATAAACATGAAAAGAAATTATATCGCTTCCAGAAAGGTTCTATTTGCACGACTTCGTGCGATAAACCGCGCGACAGTCGTTGAGATCGCAAGCAGAGCATAAATCTACTCGTTCAACGAGTTAGAAGAAACTTTACGTCGAGACTGATTATAGGTCATAACTATTTATTATACCTAGTATCGATAGCGTGTCTCGTGAAAAGTAACGCAGTAAGATTATTATAAGATTTCAAAATTCTGGAAAAAATGCCGCACTCTATTTTGGTCTGAAAGCGATTTCTTTGCATTTGCATGTTTTTACGCGAGAATTCCATTCGTGTGCGCGTGTTTTGGATGAGAAAAGGCTCTATTAATCCCGCTCAGAACTTATAATATCAAATTCTTGAAGAATATTATTTTCAAGTTGGAATAACAAAGACAAAAATTGAAATAAACTAAAAATAGAGTTACTTAAAAAATAATTAACGCTTCGATTACAATTAACAATAATGAATTATTCTCGAATTCAAAATATTCAACTCTTTTGAATCATGATAAAAGCTTTATGAGGAAAAATGCTTGGAAGCGATAGCTTCTTTATCAATTATTAAACATTTTTTTAGTAAAATTTTGTGTGTAGGTATCCCATTAATATCTTAAGAGTTTCAGCTTTATCTTCTAAAAATTCTGAAAATTAAAAATTGTTTAGATAGAATATTACATGATTTAAATTACAGACAGAGAATACGCAAACAGATAAAAAAAGTCATATGATAGCAAACAAAAAACGCTGGAAATTTAATACACAGCGTAAAATTCACGAGTAGAATGTATCGGATTCCTATAGAGTAAATCTGGAAGTAAATATTTAATTCCAGTTTGGTATAAAATTTTTTCGGAGTGTCTGAATATACAGCGCAACGTTTTAAACGACATACACGCGAAAGTTTTCTTAACAATTCGATTATTTATCTGGCAAGCTTAGCAACGAGTTATTTGGCACTTGACCCTCTTCAAAATCCCGTTTCGATATATTGCTAAGCTTTTTCAAACTATTTACGGCGAAAACGACGTCTTCTCTCGTTCGTACATGTTTTTTTTTTTTTAATTTGCGTTATTCAAGTTTACAACATAATTCAGGCCTGACTTCGTTTATCGTTACATCGCTTACAATTACACGCTGCGAGAAATGTCCTCAATCCTCTGGCTATTTATTCAATAATTTCACGAAAATCTTATTTACGTAACAATAAAAGTTTCGGGACATTGTATTGCATCATAATTTCGCGCATTCTGCAGATTGAGGAAACTTACTCGCCATATTATTACTCGCGTCTCCTTAACTCAACGTGGAGTTCTCAGTAGGAGGGGGTTTGCTTTAGAAAACTTAATCGAACACATATATTCAATTGCATGACATATATGTAGAGTCTATACATAACGTGCGAAATTATTTTCGTCTCCTGGAACGATTATCTTTTTTTTTTTTTTATTTGATCGCGAGCGCTTGCTGTTCAACAACTGCATTTCGCTAGACTTAAATGGATATTAATAATAAAACATGTAGTAAATATAATATATGTATATGTTTGTGTACACGTATGTATAATATAGAATTTATATACCGCTCGTGTCGGTGTGATCCGATTAAACAGTACCGATACATTTATCCAATGAATGACCGAACGTAGTGCGAACGCGGCGCAGGCTAATTATGTATTAAGTTACTCTATCGTAAATTTGGCGCTATTTGGCATGATTAATCAGATTTTTTGAGCCGTTACTTTTTCGTCGTTTCTGAACGCAATTTTCGAATTTTCGAAAAAGTCGAATTTTCGACGATACGAATGTGCGAGTCGTTGCGCTATTGAAAACAAGAATAATATGAACGATTTTGTTCGGATAAAATTTTACGTCATTCATAAACTTTTTTTTTATGGACATCGTCGAACAAATAATCGGATTTGTCGAGTAAATTATTTGGCAAGAAAAAAATATATTTGCGTGAACTCAGCTGGTTTGCAAAACACAAAACGAACGATTCGTTTTTCCCATTACACGTTCGATTGCTATGTAATATCGTTGCCGCGCTAGTAGCTTTCAGTCTCGCTAATTTCTGCTTTTAACGCATATATTGCACAATTGCCGGAAGACGTCGACATGCCGACGACGTCATTATCCTCTTCTGAAACATGTGGCAGAGCGGATTAACAGAGGGCCGATTTCAAAGTCTTCGTCTATCAGTCGTCTGCTACTGTATGGAACACACAGTCAGATGATGCGACAGAGCGTGGTCCAATAAAATAGGAGTGCCTGCAGCTAATTCCGTACCGGCGTCGGCGCAATCGTCGTCGCAGTCGAAGTAATTGCTCTGCGCAAATGAAATAGAGAATATCAGCACCGAATTGCATTAATGCGGTGCATTCGGGTCAATTGAGCGGTATAAAGCTTAACAAAGTAGACATCTCAAAATATAAAATTAGTAGTGATATATTAAAAAAAAAAAGATATTGCCAACAATTTGTTATTTTATTCTGCTACGTAATGAGATCAAATCGGAATTTTCCAACCGTAACGATAGAAACTAACGAACCCAGAAGTGCAAGCTAAAATAGAGCAGCAAAAGTTTGTTCCGTGATAAGTAATCCGTAACGCAGCTGTCCAATTAGTATACAAACTAGCCAATATCGACTTCGTTTGCGCGACTATAATTGCTGGTGTCGCTTTGCCCAGCAACGTGCTGCGTGCACGATGTAAATGCCTTATGAAAAAATGGACCGTAAATCTCGATTGAAAATTTGATATTTCTCGGTTAATCCTTCAAATAGAATTCTCAATTGCCAATTTACGTAATGGAGTGCTTACACACAAGTTTGCTAGAATGCGGTGCTCACACACAAATTTCACGAACCGTGTAATATGCAGGAAAGTCTTTTGCAAGTGGAGCAACTGTATTATTAAAATATCTCAAATTTATCCTGCGACTTTGATAATCAGAACGAAAAACAAGATAAAGATAGTCAGCAGATAAAATTGCAAATTTCGGTAGACTTTATTTCAGAATTTTAAGTAAAGATTTAATTGTTAATTTTATACATTAAACATTGAAACAATTATCTCGATAGATTTTCACTTTTTCACTTATTAAGATAATAAAATTAAATTTCTAATCAAATAAAATCTTTAATTATATTTGATTCAAAATTCATGAATTTTTTTACGGCCTTTTAAACAATCAAATTCGTTAATATTACGTTGCGTACTGTATCATAAAAGACCGGGATTAAAGTAAGATAATTTGTGTCGAGTGTCAATCTTGATTACCTGGCAATCGATGCACCGGCAGCTATCGGTCAGTGAACAAGTAAGGCCGAGGATCTCGACGGCCTCCTTGTACAGCTCGGCGCTTGACTTCCGCCGTCTTGGCGGTGACGCAGGTGCGCTGACTGTGCCGGTACCCGATGGTCTTCTGCCTCTCTTCAGCCTCGACGAGAACTCTCGAGACAAGGAGGAGGTCGACGTCGATCCTCTCGGCCGATTGTCGCTTGTGAGCAACGCTCGACCTGCCGGTGACGCGAACAGTTGCAGCATATCCATGTCCTACGGTCATACATTCGTTAATTAGTAAACAGTACATTTACATCACGATCTCGCTTCTAACCTATATATATTTAAATTTAGCCTTGCAGTAGTTAACGTAGTAAAATTGCATGCGCCATTTGCATTTTATTGCAAAAATTCGCGTGATAGCTTAAACAAACTATTTTACATGTCAAAGATACAATATTCACTTTTTCTTTATTCATGATTAGGTAATTTAAATAATAATTAATTATTCTCTGATACACGCTTCAATACACACACGTGTACACGCAAGCGCACGCGCACGTACAAAAAAATTTTAAATACAATGTTTAAAGTTCATCAGTCTCGTCGATTTTATAAGAGATGGTTATTTATATATAATGTGATATTGAATTATGCATGAAGATACTCAGCAGTGCACGTTAAAAAGTGCTCGTTATAGAAGCAAAAAATATTCGTTTAACAAGATAACACTTTCTTCTGTCCGAAATGGATCTCCTTTCCCGGAGAATCCTATCCGCTTGAGATTGTCGAGGATACAGTGAGATCTCATTCACAACGCGCCCTCGGGCAAAAGACTTTTCTAACAATGGTGAAAGCACCCCGAATATTATGACAACGGACAATGCCATATCTGTCCGAAACGGAAAAGATAAACGGACGATGACGTCACATTAAACGCGATGCTTGGGAACAATATTTCTTAGCATTTCTCGCAACGAAATATTCCACACGCAAAAACAGAAATCGCGTAATAGCAGGAAACTTTTACATTTTTCATCCTCGGGTTGTAATAGCGCGTTATTAAAATTGCACGACATTGCGAGTTTTTCATTTCTGAATTTTATTTTTTAATAGTCCTCTCCATTACACGCGGAAGCTCGTAGATATGTAAGGCCGACAGCCCGTTGTAGCAGTTTTTCACCATGTTTTGCCTTTTCGGCATATGAAACATACTTTGAATCCGGACTACGAATGCGTTATTAAAATTGCGAGACCATAAACCGAGCATTTGTCCGTGAATTTTATTTCACGACGCTCCGCGTAATGATCAAACTTTTATACTGAAAGTAAAGTCTTAATCGCAATCTTTTGTCGTGCTGTTCATAGTCAGAAGCAAATTGCAGGCACATCATTAAAAATATGCGGAACTGTGTGCGGTTGTTTTCATTATTTTTACGAAACAAATTTTTTAAGAGACAAGAATGCACTAACAGTTCAGTCTCAAAATGCCAGACGATGATATTTAGAAAGCGACTCTTAATTGCGCGCAGATCATTAAAAATCGTTCGCTGAAATGAGCATATTCGCGTAATGAACGCGCTTCTATATTACGGATGGCTGAATCGCTTCGCTGGAAGAAAATAATTGGAACCGGATAATTGGATTTAACTTGTGAGAAGTCGAAGAATTTTGGATGAAGATATCCTGAACCAGCGTGAATTTCCAGCGTGAACAATTTTACACTTTTGTGAGAAACTTGGCAAGTTTTGCGTACCTTTTCGTTAGTGCGTCGGGAAAGCAGTAATTACGCTGTTTTGCTCCGTACTTTCCGTCATTGTCTAGCTAGCTAAATACTTGCTTACATTGTATTTTCGTCGAAAAGATTTTTCATCGAATTTGCTGAAAACTTCGTCGAGACTGGCTGCGATTAGTGAAACTGGCACGAAGCAACGCGATTTTGAAAAGCTCTCTTCGTGCGCGAAATGACGCTCGCTGCACATTATAAACTTTTGCCAAAATGCAAGATGTACTTTTAGCGAATGCAGCGAGCTTCAGCTAAAAGCACGATCGAAGCAGCTTACGTCTCACGCTTAACGTACTTCGGCTTGCGTTTGGGAAGGGTTCAAGGAGGAAAATGGAACTTCTCGGAAAATCCAGCAGGATACTGCATTCGGTGCGCGACTAGGAGAATGGATTCGTTAAACGACCTCGCGTTATCCCGGATTACGGAAACTACCAATCAAATGGACGTAGTAAATTCTTGGAATAATTTAAGCGTGAAGGAATTAAATAGAATAAATAAAATGGGTTAATTAAATAAAATTACGATTGATTGCAAATCGTTTATTAGCTACTTTTTATTTATCGTTAAAAATAGACATTATAAAATATGAAAGATTAAATAAGGGCAAAATGAAAATTAAATCCTACCTTAAAAGAGGCACGTTTGCGTTGATTTTGTTTATTATTTACCGTCATTGAGACGATTGCGTTTAACATTACTTTGATAGTTTGTATTTTTGTTATCATATAAAAAGCAGAAGTGTTTTAAAGAAAGCAGAAATTTAAATTATTATATAAGGGGAAAAAGGGCGCGCGCATAGCGCGCGCTTGTGTGGCTTAATTGAATATAAAAGCTAAATATATTAGAAATATTAAAATATCACATTAATTTTTGCGAATATGAATTTTATTCAATATCATAAAACTTTGACAGCGATTGGCTTTTAACTATATTCTCATTAATAGTGATAATTTTGATCAAACTGCATTTTGCCGGGAGTTTCGTAGAGAAACACACTTGAGAGAGAGTCACTCGAGCAATTCCTTTGTCGGCGGGAAATACACCTTGTCCTCTCGTTGGAGAGACCCCTCTGAGAGAGATGCAGTTAGCGTAACTTTAACGAAAACGTCGATATGTCGATGTCACCAGAAACTTCGATAGAGGCAAGCACTTATCGTTTAGCGTCATCAAACTTTCGCGTTCAGATTTAGCGCCATGAAGATAATAATTAGTCTTTTACCTTCTTCAAAAATAAATAATCCTTTCTTGTTTATTTTTAATATTATCCGTTAAGTGGAATAAAAATGACGCGTTCTTAATCCTTTACCGCGACCGATCGATACCGCGCAAGTCCCCGTGTCGAGCGATTATATTCTCAGGAAACGGGAAACTTTCTTTTCCGTTCGTGGCAATTTCTCTTTTTATAGCGACGAATGCGGTGCTGCGATCTTTATTTTATCGCGTTTAGGAGCGACGCCTGAAGGAAACGTCATCTTCAGGGTAGTCGGCGGCGAACAAAAGTGGTCGATGGAAAATGGCAAAGAGATCAAATGGTGGGTGATGACAAGCGCCAGGCTGATTCGATGTACCGAGTGTACAGAGAAGACAGGGATCCCAGGTCGATCCCTGGGGACGCATATCGCGTCGCTCCTCGTGAATCCACCTGCGCGCGAACTTTCCTCGAATCCTTCAACGCTGATAGATAACCCGGTCGAAAGGGCGGGCTTAGATAGAACGACTGACGAAGACTTTTTGCCGCGAGAAAGCGAGTTCTGCGCAAGCAGTTCGCGTGATGGGGAAAGAAATAATTTTTGCTTGATGTTGAAAAATCTACTGCGAGATAGCCCGCGGTATATTATCCATTATATTACTCCGTGTACAAGATCGAGTGGAGTAATATCCCATTGAGGTTGGGAACCTGTAGATATATTGAGATAAGTAACCATATCTATCGCAAATAAAAATAGTGTACTATTTACTAAAAAAGAAATTTTTGATAATACAAATGTCTCTTTTTAAAAATAATTTTAATTCTAGTTCTCTTGACAAACAAGATATCATTGATATTAACTTTAACAATATATCAACTTTATTCAATTTTCCGACGTAAATTATTAATCAGTGGAATTATTGTCCGGTTGAAAAAATAATGCATATCAAAATTGAACATTCGACCATCCGGAAATTAAATTTCGTGCAAATTTCCGGTGCGCTTAATCAACTTGAAATATTGATTGAAGTAAACAGTTGGTCAGTGGAAAATTGGATCAACCGAGGGTAGTGCAAGCAACGATCGGTAGATTGTAGAAGTGGCCGATTCGAGTTATGCCCGATTTATACTCCGACTAATTTAATTATGCACTAATCGTCCTAACAGCTTATAGCTATCGTGAACAATGAACCCACGAATCTGAAACTATGCTAATTTTAGCTAGCGGGAGAAAGCTAGGAAGTGCGGAAAGTGGAGCAAGATCGACATTGTGGAATTATAAACCGGAATTAATTTTAGAATAGCGCTGCGATTGCGTGTTAACTTATATTGCAGTTATTTTCTCGTTATCATTTAGCAAATATACATTGCAGGCCAAAAGTTTGAGACCGTAAGATAAGATTTTAGAATATCAGTGTATAATCAGTGTAATTACTTAAAAGTTTGACTCATAGTTTATTCAATATTTTTTGAGTTAAAAGCAACCAACCATTATTTAAGACAGCTGTAGTTAATCTAGTATTGTTTAGTTTCAAAGAAATGACAGAAAAAAAGTACATCTAAAAAACTTTTTATTTCAATATTATAACTCAACGTTAAAAACCTTATTATGTTTTCATTTCAAAGGAGTCGTCGAGAGGAATGGTCCGAGAAAAATGCTCAACATCAAAAAACTAATAAGCTTGTAGTCAGCTTACCAAGATTAGTGAAAAAAGTAATACAAACTAAGGGTGGTTACTTTGACGAAAAATGTTTAAAACTTTTTTATGTTCTAAACATTATTTTTATAAAACTTTTTAAGATTTTATGACACTATCGTTTGATTATAAAAGAATCTTTCTTCTTATTCTTAAATAATATAAATATATTATAATAAATACTTTTAGTTTTATTTCTTAGAATAAATATTTTCGATTACTGGTCTTAAATTTTTGATCTGCAGTGTACATTGTCTTCGGTTCAGAAAAATGCTTTCCAATTTATAAACTAAGCTATCAGAGAACAAAATTTTACACACTTTTGCTTTTATATTAATAGCTGTTATATATAATGTCATGTATTAAACCGAAAAGATTGTGATAATAGAAGCGATAACAGCAAGCGAGCTTTAACAAAAATAGCTTTCCGATAAAGCTTCTCGCCCGTTTCCGCACTTCCATTAATGTGTATCAATTTTCCAAACATCGAATCGGCGTCGTATCAAACGTTATATCGCGTGAAACTATCCTCAGCGTTTATACAATCTATGGAATGCGTCGAATGCCGCATTATTTTGGGATTTAATCTCCTCCCCCTTCCCCCGCTCCGCGTCGGTGTTAAATATTTCTCACACGCGATACAATCCGGCGTCATTAAACAGCAAATGCGCGTCATCGCGGCTCGCACGGGCTTTATCGGTCCTTTCCTTCGGAATTATCGTTTATCACTCTGTCAGAGGATCAACGATAATATCCAGCTGCATTTTGCTCGTTCGGGAGCGCGGCGCCTGTCACCTTCCATGTTGTTAATCCCTCTTGTAACTCCATTGTCAACAGAAACCATCGAATGTAGCGGTCGCCGTTAATGAAGAGAACCCAGCTAATTAAGTTAATTAATACCGACGTGGATCCTATGGGAAACTTTCGGTGGGAGGGATAGGGCGGGGAGAGAGACCGGTTACAAGCGTGTATACAGAGGAGACACGCAGGACGATTTGCGAAACAGGATAATTACGTTCGTTCCATCGTACAGGTAATGGGAGAATGTTGTTCGCCAGAAATGTTTAGCCGAAAATTAATACCACATCGTGCGCTTAAACAATTAAATTAACGGAGTCCGCGCGTGGCAAATCCGTTTTTATTGAAGCCCGGATTTTTACTAAGCCCCTTTGCAGCGAGCTTGCACGCATTTCATCTGCGCGGCCGCGATCATCTGACTCCTTTGTATTCCGCGGAAGCGATAATTGTCACGTACGAATGGAAGAGATATTATCCGGAATTCTGCGCTACATTGTTAATAGTAATTTATGTGAACGGATTTTAGCAATTCTGTCAGTTACTATAAATTCATTGGAATACGTTGCTACGATAATTTTCAGTTTAGAATAGTTATGCATGTATTTCTACAGAAAAGAAATAAAATATACGAGCTACATCGTAAATTTATATCAAGCGTTTAATGCAAAATACTACACACATGTATGTCCACATACATTCGTGACAACGAACAGACAATTTTGTGTTTCGGTATATTCTCAGGGAACACGCAAAAACAACGCGTGCAACGGATCATAAAAACGACTTTAATTGACACGGACGGGAATCGTTTAATTAATGCATTTTTCTACGCTTCGATAAGCGGATCGCGCACCGTAAATTGCAAACCGTATTTTTTCGTCGTTCTTTTTATTTTTTATTTTTTTTTTTTTTATACTGCCGTACATGCGATGTTCCGATAATTGTAGCAATTCGCGCGCGAAAACATACGCCGATTTCGCATTAATGCGACGAAATTACTAAAGCTAGTGCGGGAATCCAAACGAATGCACTTTCATCGAAAATGAAATGCGTGCCGCATTAATTAGCCTATCACGAAGCACGTTTAGGGGATTCTTCGTAACATCTGCGGGGCATTCCCGAATGTATTGCAATCACTATTATCATATGACATCGCCGATAGATTATTCGAATAATAATGCACCATCGCGCCGATCGACTTTGTAGCAATTTGTGCGTTTGTGAATGCGCGTTTGCGCCGTTGTTTGTAGACGCGATTACGATAGGCATTGTTCCCGCGGCAATTATTATGACGACCGTTTTAGCGAGGACACATACTACGTGTTGCGAAATGGCATTTTAACGATGTTGATAACAGTATCCTTTGTGTGCGTAATTAAACGGTTTAAGAGCCCGATCGTATGATTTCATAGCGTTTCGATATTAATTGTGACGAAATTGCAACCAATCGCAAACAAGTAGTACAGGGAAAATCAAAGAATAATATCGACGGTCTCTTCATTTATATCCTATTTATTATATATTGATAAAAATCTTGTATAAATTAGTCTAACGAAATATATAGAAACGATGTAAGATCGTACAAGTAACAGTAAGATTTTTAATAATCTTGTTTGTGAAATAATATCTGACAATCTAAATATCTGGCTTATTTTTATATATTATATAATATTCATTGCATAAATCATTGCATCACATATATCTTTATGTTTGGTGGTGGATAGTCGTTTAATATTAATAATTTATAGTGAATTATATGTTTATTTTATTTTATGTATTACAATATTATGTTATTCATTGTAGTAATTCCTATTCCATATGCATTACACGATTAACATTATCTACGAGCAACTACACGCGAGTATATAGCGACCTAATCTATCTAATGGATATTCAAACGGATTTATGTACATTTGCAGAATGTTCTGGAATGGTTATTTGATAATGACAATCATTCACTAACAAATATGAGAAACGTATATGAAATTGGCTATTGTTTGTGATCAATAATTCTGGAAATCAGATCCTTCTCCGCCGCTACTTTAATTGGTAACAAAATCGGCGTATTTTCTTTCGTCGATTTTAATTAAGCTTTAGTTTAATAAATCGCAATTAAACAGCTTTAGCAAAATCTTATGCGAGCCCACAAATTACTGTTATACGATTGTTTGATTAATCACATCATAGGTATTCGATAAATCGGTTATTGAGATCTCGCTGTTATTATGCATGACGCAGCACAGAGTTTGACCATGCAATTATGACAATAATTGATGAGTCTAATCGAGAATCGCGTATCTGTGTATCTGCGAATCTGGAATAATGGGTAATCGTGCTTATTTTGCATTAGATGAATCGCACGGAGGACTCATCCAAATCGCATGTACAAATCATCGCACGTTAATAATCAATTTTTATCTCGTTACACATAATTAGCCTTGCGGTTAGATAAGAGTAATATTTCGACAATAATTCCCTTCGATATTGCTCGTATGTTTACGCACCGTTATCTAGCCTGTTTATGCACTGTCTACAGGACTCTATGTGATTACAACGATAACAGTTGCAGCGAATGACACAGCAACGTTTAGTAACGGCCTGATTACGCGTTGCACTGCGCGCGTTAACGATGGCTTGTTATCTGTTTACCGAATTAATTCTCTTCAAATATTTACGTATCGCAAATTAAGCCGCAGTAGTTGTTTTGCGAACTTAAATAAGCAAGTCGTTTGACCGAAAGATCGCACTGTTATTTATGCAGATCCCGTACTTCGGTCATGAAACACACAACTAATTGCAGTATCTTATTTATTTTGTTCACTCAAACACTTAAAGGCACACAATTAGCAGTGTAATACAAGTAGCACAGATCTAAGTTCTAAGTAATAGTTCGTACGATCACAACCCGGATGATATACGGAAGGAAATGTGCCCGGACTAGTCGGGCGGGTCGCAATAACAGCTGCGCCTAAGTGGCGTATTACGTGCCGAATTGTACTCACCGGCAAGGATTCAGGCGTGTGGTCCAACACGTATATGCTGTTCGTGTATCCGTACAGCATCGTGTCCAGATCTGAAACCCAAGGAGAGCAGAACATTAAATTGGATCTAACCAGTTGCGAACCGTACAGCACACTAATGCCGCGGTAATACCGCACACCACTCGCACTCGCGGCTACGTCACCGCACATTCTAATTTACGCTGGATGCAGCGTAGCGCGGAGGGAGAGTAATTTCCTAATACGACGGGATGAGAGAACGCTCTCAAATTCCCGACGTCCCCTCTCGTCCGCCCACTCCTCGCTATCCCACCTCGTGCGTTTCCCTTAGGACTTCGAGTTGCGAGTTGCGAGTTGCTTTAACATCGTCTTACGACAACATTGCATCTAGCCCGGCTCAGTGTTTACGTACTTAGAACTTTCTTGTTACGATGTTACATTGTGCTCCGTTATATTACGCTAGGCTATATCACAATGCGTTTTGTGGCGCTATTCATTTGTCTTTAAAAAAAATAAAAGTATATGTTTTTAAGTAGACGACCGTATTTTAGTCAGACGTAAATAAGTAGTACAAATCAATCGTTGTCGGGCGTATCAGCCACTCAGCAGTTACATAATTTTTTGTAGGATAATTGTTAATTATTGCAGTTATTAAACAGTTCGTAATTGCCAATTTCACTTTTAATAACTTTTGAATTTAATACAGTTTGTAAATGAAATAATTTTCCATGGAAAAACTTGAGCAAGTGTAATTAATCGCAACCATCACATCGATCGTAAATAATGCTGACGCAATAACCGTCGAAGAGTTAACGAGTTTTTCCGCATTGACACTCGCTGTTCGAAGGAGAAAAATTATTATCGACGATAAAAATAATCGAGCAGAGACAAAAATGCCGCAACTGCCATAGCACGTCCGCGTAAAATTTAGTGGCGAGATGAAGATCGATTGCACTATATTTACCGTACAACATTAACCGGGAAAAGACTGTTATAACCCTCAATTAAATTTTTTGTAACTATTCTATATATATTACGCAACGTATTCAGTTCTAATTGATCGCAAAAAGAACAAGATAAATTTTATCCGACCATTCAACATATTTTCTCTTTCCCCGATTTTCTCAACTACTTAGGTACATTTTTCGAGAAAATCGTCATAGGATCTTATAAGTGATGTCCTGAAAAGATCGCTGAATGCTCGAACAGTTGTATTCATAGTACATGCTTTATCGACGATTTATGAGAAAACTCAGTGCTGTCGTGCAACGATGCAATTTCTCAAAAATTATTGCATGATATTGCGCCGATGAACGAATGGCATTTCGGACCTTGATAGCAATTCATTTTGATGCAAAAGGTCTCGATCCGCGATCTATTGTATCGTCCGCATGCCAAGCGGATATACGAGAATCAATAGGATCACAAAGCCATCCAGCGACGGTCTCCTATCGATTGACTTTCGATGAAACGCCACGACTCGCTATCTCTTTGCCTCTTCACTAAAGGATATACAGCACTTCAACATCGCTCCAGTGATTCGGCGGGAATTTCAATTTGTGAAGCCGGCACTATACTGCTAAAGGGCATCCATAGCAAACGCGCAGGATCACTTTGAGACTATCGGACGCCTTGAGCTAACAGAATTTGAATTTGTGACACTTTATGTCGCCTTTCGCCCGAGGAATAAAGATGCTGACATAAACACAGACATAAAAGATATCTTGGATACAATATTTAGAAATTTTTGTTTTCAAAAGGAAAGAAATAATTTCTCGCACAAAAATACTGCGCGAATATCTCACAGAAATAATAATTTTCGTTATAATTTTTTGTTTTAGAATAGGCATCATTATAGAATAGATCGTTTTGCGTGACGCAGATCGGAGAATATGTATTGAGAGCCATGAATAAGCATATAATCGTGCATCAGCGCTGGCAATCAGTTCAAAATTCAATTCCGCGAGGGTGTTTAATCATGCGAGTAGAACGCATTATGCAGCGCGTATTCGACGATAGAAAATACAGAACAGGCAACAGATAGATTTATTATTTCCGGTTCGCCTACATGCCGCACTGAAAACTCTACCGAAATTGGTTGACCAGAAGTCGATTTTCCATTACACAAAGTGTCACTCCAAAAAAATCTCATCCATCGCTGTGACGGACAACATTGTCACAACCAACGCTAATGGGTGCCCACGGTACTGGATCGTTCGGTGCGAAAATTACTGTATTCTGTCAGAGAGGAAAAACAAATGACAACGATAGTATTTATTTTGGTTTCGAAAACAATGGCTTTAAAAAACAAAATTTAGATATTCATTATATTGAGATATTTATATTCCAATTGCATCAAAGAATTTAAAGAACATTTAACTAACATTTGCGAGCAAATCCTAAAGCGCATTAAATCTTCAAACGAACGAACGTAATTGTAGCTGGACGAAGTCCAAGAAAAAGCTCAAGTGTATTGCTCCGAACTCGCTTAGGAAGAACAATTGCAGGACGGAGAAGATGTACACTTGTGGCATTATCGATAAACGAAATTATCGATCTCGAGGCTTTGTTGATTTAATATCGAATACTTATCGCTTCTTAACACAGGGATCATTGAAAATTGTACATCTATAAGTTTACGATAAATTTATAACCATTTCCCAGTGTGGTTTCTTTTTCGTATTAAATCGTATGATATGGTTTGCACGGAATGCACGGTGTATGCTGAGTGCCCGGACGAAAGAGAAACGGCGGAAGAGGCCAAAATACAAAGCTGCGGTGCATACGGCGGCGCGCCGAATCGCGCCCATAAACCGCATCGCCGTTGCATACCGCAAATATCGAAATTGTTTCGCGCCGCTGATATATGCCCGTTCGCCTATCATATTCTTCGCGCATCGCGAATCGTAATCGGTCATAACTCCTATGACGTCGGTTACGACCTCGTTTTCTTCACGCCGTGTCAGATAATGTATTAAAAACTTTCTACGCGGCACGAATTACAGCATTCGAAATATCGTGTGAAAATTACACACTTGACTTTACAGATCGCGTACTTCGTTGAAACGTCAGAGATTTATTTTAGTGTCTTTTTTTCAGGAAATTGACTCTATATCTTCACTTCGAAAGCCAATCGTTTGTTTTAGAGAAAAATACAATGGACGATCGTAAGATCTGCACTATGCAGTCCGCTCGGTTCGCAGTGATGTACCGCAAATGCATCGCAAATAACTCGAGCGTAATATCGAGCCAATCCTGACAAATCTTCTTGTATTACATGATGGACGACTGATGCCGTGCGACTGAAGCCAATCCTCCATATATTCCGTCACGCGTGCTCTCATTTTTACACTAGACGAATGTGTCCTATATTTGAATATTGGCTTTGACCGGTTTTTAACGCACGAGTGCTGTGCTCGGGAAATATTGTGCATTGCACGAAACAATCGTTTAATTGCTATGGTAAAGCATGTTGCTAAAAAATAGAACAATTTGTATTTGCGACAGGAATCGAGAACTGACCTATCGAGTTATTTAAAAAATTCTCTCCGTGCGAGAGATTGAATTCGCGTGTGTGGATTCCCATTGTCACCTCTCGATTTTTTCAAAAAAAAAAAAAAGAGAGAGATAAAACAATTTGATAAGATATATTGCGAATAATCGCTTGCAAAATAGAGAAAGAGTAAGTAAATTGAATTTCTAGGGTAAAAAAAGGAAAAAAGTTCTTCGCTTCATTCCCCTCGTGATAAAATTCTCAAATAGCACTGCTATAAAGAAAGAAGAAAAGAAAGGAGTTATAGATATGTACCACTCTTCATCTGGAGGTGTTATCTAATGAAGCGTAAAGAAATCGAAGTACGCTGTACATCAAATCATGAGAATTTATTGCTAATTACTTTTCCATGCCGATCTATTCGGCCGCGAGCACCGCTCGTCGTGGATTTATTGCCATTATTTTTACGCTCCCTCGTGAGCATCTGGCTAATATGTATGCGAACGTTCGAACAATCGCGATGTGATATGAAAAATATGATTTATGACTACTGATCGCCACAAAATACAAAGCTTGGTCTCCTTAAAATGGGGAATAAAAAGGGCCGGAGCAACCTAATCGTATATTTAACAGATTCATGATTAAATAAAAACAATTGGATTTTTTACGTTATTTATTATTAAACTTTAATAATAAAGAAAAATTTATATACAAATATATAAATGTTTAATACACATTTGTCATAGATGTTTCGTAAAATTGGTTTAATACTTCATATTCAATCGCCAACTTTGTAATTTTGCTGATTTGCAAAACGCCATAAATAATCGTTATAATTGGAGCGAAATGAGAAGTTCGGCTATAATTACGATCGGAACATTGCATTTTACTAATGGCGATAATATTAGTCGTGTCACGGTGATTTACGGACATGGAACGTGACGTACAGATAATTGCTACTTTGGTGCTCGATAATTCAGCGCACTAAATTCCGTTGTACATAGATATATGTATATAAAACTGCTGGGGTAAGCTCGAAAGAAATTGATTTTGTAATAAAATATTGTAATAAAAATCACTTCCGTAAAATATTATTGATTTTTATTTATATAAAAATGCTGCTAGATAATAGAATTCAATCTTCAAATACTGTGAAAGGAATGTGATATAACAATATTCTCTAAATAATTTTCACAATTTTGATAAACGCTCGGCTGTCAAAATCACTTCCTTTCGGCTGCTCGCAGAATCGGGCATGCTTCGCATAGATGAATTCGATCGTGGGATCGAAGTCCAGGAAATCATACTTGTCAACTGCCACGTACGCCAACGCTCGATGCAATTTCCGTACAATCAAACAGCAAACATGGGTTCGTTATATATTGTTGCTCCGTCGCAGCGCACCCTTGTAATTCCATATGCAAATTCTATGCTGCGAGCCCGAGCACGTCGTGCTAGGGGATCAAATCAATATTGTATCAGGAAGGTCGGATGTTGCGTCCAGTTGAATAACTTATACCTCCACATAATCTCCGCTTCTTCCTTTCGTAATTATTGGTAACGAAATGAGACATATTAAGA